TTGTCATATTCATTGGAATTAATTTAAGAAAACCGCAAGAAATCGATAAATTGAAACTGGATTTTGATTTTAATCTTTTGTGAAAAAAATTAAAAAAAAAAATTTCCTAGATAGCGCTTGATCTATTCGTTCAAGTTGAAGTTACTCGTAAATCTTGTCCAATAATTTTTTTTCCAATCGTGCGTGTATAATAATTTTCAGCGCTTTTTTTTGTATATATAGATTCTTCTCACTAAAATTCCTTGGATACGGGTGGCCATAGCAATCGAGACAATCGTAAAGCAGACTATGAACTTGACTAATTAATCTGGCATTTCGAAAGTTGCAGAGAGAGAGAGAGAGAGAGAGAGAGAGAAAGAAAGAGCAACTAACCTATAGCTTATTTTCTTAAATGTATGTAAAAATTGTCTATAAATATAGGTTGAAAATGTATACGTGTGTATAAGCGATGAATCGGATGCTCGCGAGCGCGCAGCATAAATTAAATTAGCATAATTTCGGCCTTTCCAACAACAAAGTAAACCGAATGCTGCGACCACGCGTGTAAATTTAAGAGGATTGACATTCAATTTCGCAAACCGAGCAAAGCCGATACCTTTATTTCACTTCCGCGAATTGGTTTCTTACGAATAAGTTTTAATTCGTATTTTTCGTGTTCTTTTGCGGATTTCTTTGAAGGATTTAAATGAGGAGTTAAAATAATGAACCTTCCGTAAATCACGAGTAGACCATATATATATTTTATTATCAAACAATTGATTTCTTCATTTTATTCCCAAAAAAGAATATGTAAATTAATTCATATAGACAAAATCAAAATCAGCTAATAAAAAAGCTACTTTTTTTCCGTCTGGAAAATTCCCATTATGAAATTTAAATTAAACCATAACCTTAGATTTAAAAACATGAGCTGATAAAAAAAGAAGAATGAAAAAATAACTCATGTAAATATGTGTTATTATTTATTTTCTTTTTTTTCAAAAAAAAACAAAAAAATGAAATAAAAGAAGCGCCAGAAGAAAAGGGAAAGTGTTTGTTTTAGAGAGTTCTTCTAAAAGTGACATTCTATCCCGCTGCGTGAAATTAACTCATGTTTAAAGCCTCTTCTGATGCCGACAGCACAAAGAAAAAGAATTTCTTAGCAAAAATTCTCTTTTGACATGATGGTTTAAGATCAAAACCGGATTCACCGGAAATTAATAGAGTTCATTTTCCAAAACTAAAATTCATATTGTTTCCGTTTTTCTCTATTCATAATTTAAACAAAAATTCTCATTTTTCAAAAATTTACCATAATTACTATTTTAGACAAAATTTAAAATAAAAAAAAAGTAATTATTATTAATTGCTACTTTTCGAAAATGTAAAAACCATTTTTCGAAACCGTTAATTTACGAAGAATTTAAAAAATATTGTCTATAAATCTTTATGATTTTAATAGCTAAAAAATAAAATCTTCTTTTTTAAAAACTGGGCGGGGCAAAAAAATTATGTGACAATCTACAATTTAACAAAAAAAAAAAAAAAAAAAAAAAAATCGTTCTGACATTTGCGATCGTAAAAGTATCGAACTCTCTCGTCGAATTGACAGCAAATCCCCTTTTCCCCCTATTTTGCAATTTCATAACGATTCTTCAGCTAAAGCTAGCAATCAATTTTAATTGTAAACTCAATTTTTACTCTTTACGTAAAAGTTATTATTTTCTAGAATTACACTGAAAAAAAGGTTTACTATTAATAACCAAACGTTTGGTTAGTATTTAAGCAACAAAAATTTTTTTGTTGAATCAACAAAATTATGGTTGTCCCAATCAAACTTTAGTTAGAACAAAAATCCTTTTTTTCTAATTTTGGTTGTATCAAACAAATTTTGATTGAGACAATTAAAATTTTGTTGATTCAACAAAAAAAATTTTTGTTGCTTAAATACCAACCAAACGTTTAGTTGTCAATACCAAACCCTTTTTTCAGTGTAGTAATTAACTTTTGCCATAGTAACTAACTTTGGTCATAGGAATTTTTGCCATAGTAACTAACTTTTGCCATAGTAACTTGTGCCATAGTAACTTTTGCCGTAGTAACTTTTGCCATAGTAAGTAACTATTGCCATAGTAACTTTAGCCATAGTAACTATTGTCATAATAAGTAACTGTTGCCATAGTAACTTGTGCCATAGTAACTTTTGCCATAGTAACTTTAGCCATAGTAACTATTGCCATAGTATGTAACTGTTGCCATAGTAACTTGTCCCATAGTAACTTTTGCCATAGTAACTTGTGCCATAGTAAGTAACTGTTGCCATAGTAACTTGTGCCATAGTAACTTTGGCCATAGTAAGTAACTGTTGCCATAGTAACTTGTGCCATAGTAACTTTTGCCATAGTAATAAGTAACTGTTGCCATAGTAACTTTAGCCATAGTAACTATTACCATAGGAATTTTTGCCATAGTAACTAACTTTTGCCATAGTAATTAACTATTGCCATAGTAACTTTTGCCATAGTAAGTAACTGTTGCCATAGTAACTGTTGCCATAGTAACTTTAGCCATAGTAACTATTACCATAGGAATTTTTGCCATAGTAACTAACTTTTGCCATAGTAATTAACTATTGCCATAGTAACTTTTGCCATAGTAACTATTGCCATAGGAATTTTTGCCATAGTAACTAACTTTTGCCACAGTAACTTTTGCCATAGTAACTTTTGCCATAGTAATTAACTATTGCCATAGTAACTTTAGTCATAGTAACTATTGCCATAATAAGTAACTGTTGCCATAGTAACTTGTGCCATAGTAAGTAACTGTTGCCATAGTAACTGTTGCCATAGTAACTTTAGCCATAGTAACTATGCCATAGTAAGTAACTTGTGCCATAGTAACTTTTGCCATAGTAACTGTTGCCATAGTAACTAACTTTGGTCATACGAATTTTTGCCATACGCTGAAAAAAGAGTTTGGTATTAACAATTCCAAACGTTTGGTTGGTATTTAAGCAACAAAAATTTTTTTGTTGCATCAACACAATTATGGTTGTCCCAATCAAACTTTAGTTAGGACAACAAAAATCCTTTTTTTCTAATTTTGGTTGTATCAAACAAATTTTGATTGAGACAATTAAAATTTTGTTAATTCAACAAAAAAAATTTTTGTTGCTTAAACACCAACCAAACGTTTGGTTGTCAATACCAAACCCTTTTTTCAGTGTATGTTATACTTATTTTAGAAAAAATAATTTATTTTTTTTAACGAATAAGTATAAAAGTAAAATTTCTTTTTTTTTAGGAAAAGTTTAATAATGCAACTTGTTAAAAAAAAACTTTAGTATGTAGATTAGTTAACGACCAAAACTAGTGAAAATATAATAAAAGCATGTGGGCATGGGTGCGATCGTCGATTTAAGGTAGCCGCCATCGGCGGCATCAAAACGGCGCTAGTCTTCTCGTAAAATTATCCGTAATAAAATTTTGATTTATGTTAACCTTCTGAGAAAACAGACTGCAAACTAGTGACGTTCGAAGCGATCTCAAGCACTAACTCCCTTGAGTCTGACCTTTTGTTGTATAGTAATTATTATTTTCGTTCAGAACACAGTCACGATAATCCTTCATTTTACTTTCCCAAATTGATGAAATAACAATTTTTTTCTTCCCATCATCATCATATTATTATTTTTTTTTTCAAACAATTCAAAAATAACTTAATAAATAACGAAAAAAAAATAATACTCATAATTAGATTAGGAGTATATATTAACTCTTTGAAACGTTTCCTTTAAAGAGAAGAAAAGAAATTAAATATTAATATTCCGTTTAAAAAAAAAATTAATATAATTATTAAGGAGGAAAATAATTAAAATCAAAAATTAGTTATTGTATTTCGATGATAGAAGCAATCAATATTTGAAGAAAAGCTTTAAAACTTAAAGAAACTTTTAATTAAAACGCGCAAAAAATGAAGCTCCTTATAACTCGATTAAAAGTTTTTAAAGTTGGTAAAATTTACAAAAAAAAAAGGTGATAAGACTCTCAAAGGTTTATGAAATATTTAATGTAAGTTTTTTTTTTTGTTCAAAGAAGCGCAGAATAGATAAATAGTAAGGGAAATTTTTTTTTTTTCTTTAAATAATTGTTTACAAAATAAAAATTTATTATTTATTTAAATTTGAGTTTACTTGTAAAATATTTATGCATAAATTTTATAAGTACAAATTATAGAATAATTATTTAATATAAAAAAATTTAGAAATAATTTTTTTGTATATAAAATACAATACAGAATTTCAGTAGTATAAGTATTTTTAGTCAGACGTGCGTATAAATTAACATTACTTTTTATTGATTATATTTTTAAAATAATAAAAATGAAAAATAGCTAAAATATATTAAGATAAAACACAATAAACAATTTTATATTAGAAATAAATAAATATTTCAAAATTTCATATTAGTGTAAAAAGCCATCTTTATTTTCTTATTTTAAATTATTTTTATAGTTAAAAAAGAACTAATTAAAAATTATTTAATCTTTTTGGGTTTAATTTCCCTTATTCTTGAATTTAATTTTCGTCATTCTATAAACATTAAATTTATTAAATAAATAAAAAGATAACCAGCAACAGATAAAGTAGTTTCCTCTCTTTCGCCTATTGATAATCACCTGCATTTTCTTTCTTTGGCATAGAAGATTTCTATTTTACCAACTAATGATAATGTCTACTTTTAATAACAAAGCGCGATAATTCAAAGTACTATTTATGATTTTCAAATTATTTTATAAACTATTTTTTATCATTTGGAAAATAATAGGGTTAAGTAAACAGCAATTATATAATATACCAAAAATTTATTTACATAAAAACATGAATATAATACCTATAAGTTTTCAACTGCTGCGAAAGTTTTTTTTTTATTTTCGATTCTGAAAATAATAGTATTGTCACAATTGGCGCAATCGATATAGTTACCTGTAGGGAAATAGTAATTAATTGTTAAAATATATAATATTTATATATATATATTTTTTTTATATCGTTACAACAAAATTGAAAATTAACTCCCACGAGATCGGTTTATTTTTTTTTTTTATTATTATTATCAATATATTATCACGCACAGAAATTGCGACAATAATGAGAATGGACGTACCAAACTTATATATAAATATATATAAAGTGTGTGACGAGTAATAATTTTTATTTTTTTCATCGAATAAATTTAATCTTCATAAATAGTACGTTTATTATATTAATAAAATCGCAATTAATAATTATATTTGCATAAAATCATTCGTTACAATATTTACAAAAATCATACATTCAAAAAAATAAAATAAACTAAAAAATAAACATTTCAAGTTAAGATCGTAATAATAATTAATAACAATAAAAAGTATTAAACATTTTACATGCGTATTTCGAGCATTAATTAATTCTCTACTATTTGCCAATTGCACTGAGGCTCAATTTATATTTTAAAGAGGCCTACTTTTGTCAATCTTTTATATTTTTTTTTTTTTTTTTTGCTCACATCTCATATTAAAAATCTATATTATAAAAGCGAACAAAGGAGCATTCAATCGCAGCCAAACAATCGTGTCGCCAATTTCTGTTAATGTTATTTAAAAAAAAAATGGCAGCGATATTTTCGTACCTATGTTTATTTTATAACTGCCTAAAACATCCAAAATGTATGTATAACATTATAAGGTTTTCTAACGTATACAAGTATAAATTTTTTTTTTTTTTTCGTCAACACATGCTGACACATTTTTTTAGGATATAAATATTTCGACACTTAAAATCGTTCTTATAAAAAAATTTATATTATATATTTGACGAAGACAATTTTTCTTTGATAATCTTCATTAAAAAATTTTTTTTTTTTTTTTTTTTGATGAATCGACTCGTTATAATATAGGATAACAGTTTTTAACTGTCATCATTAAATTAAAAATCTACAAATAAAAAGCGGCAGTCTCCAAATATTTCTTTCTCCTTATATTCTCGTACATGTAAATAAGTTTCACTTAGAAAAAAAAAAAAAAAAAAACAAAAAAACAAAGCAATTTTGTCGATGTTCCACATCGTATATCGAAAAAATACTCATCGCTTCTGAATTTTGACATTTTTTTATGGCACATCAAAAATAGTTTCGCCTTTCATTTTTTTTTCACCATAGAAAATATACATTCATTTTCGTTGACAATTTCAATTTTTTTTACATTTTCCACAATAAATAAACCTTATTGATTCAAAGAATTCGTTCCCCGAAAAAACTCTTTTGATGTGCGTTATATAATATTTCCAACTGACCGGTGAACATCTTCCGAACAATAAGCTTCAACAAATATTCTTATATCGTGTATGTATATATATATATATGTTTGTTTATGTAACATAGGTACTCAAGCAATATATTCTTTTTTTCATTTATTGCGCGAACACTTTACTTGATTATACATTCGAATTATAATATTTTGTATATTTCTAAAAAGTAATGGCATAAACGAGATCTCAGTTATACATTCAAAACCTATGCTCTGCATCAATATCGCGCATAGGAGATATTTAAAAAAAAAAAGTGCGTGATACAGAATGTGCGCCTTGCGTATATATATATACATATATGCAAACATTTTCTCATTGCAAGTCAATTGTGTAAAAAAAAATTGTCAGACACAATTGACCTGTGATCAAAAATATTATTTTCTACAATTGGCGTCAATTGTTTTTTTTTTTTTTTGTACAAGTTTTCAAAAAGATTTCTTTATATACTTATACACTTATATTATATTTGATTGAAAGTCATTTATCCTGATCAGAAAAAAAAAATCCACAATGAAAAAAAATTTATTTGATTCTAATTTTACTATTATCAAAATATTTATATTTGTATCAAATAATTATTGATGCAATTAAATGGGATTTGTTTCTAATAAAGAAATTATTGGTTCAAATATCATTTAATTCAATTATTTGGCTCAAGTAAATATTTGATAACGTTTGAATCAAATACATTTTTTATTCACTGCATTTCTATTATCAAAAGCAAGAAACTCGATTTAAATTGAGCATTTTCTATTCGAATTTTGTTGTAAAAATTTTTTCACCGATTGTATAAAAAAAAAAAAAAAAAAACACTTGCGATCACTTGAAAATGACATCATCGACTCTTATTAAAGCACCTTTATAAAAAACTTGTCACCTTCCTTTATATTGAAAAATTCTCGAAATTTGAAAATTGGTCATAAAAATTTTTCGTCAAAATGATTCGATGCGATTGGTATATTTATATATAAAGATTTTTTTTATGTATAAAGATTCGATATAAATTTTTTTGTATAAAAAAAGATGCACCAGTCATATATATATATAATTATAAATCGATTACAAATGTGCGTCTTTTTTTGTGCTGTTTTTTTTTTTTAGAGGCAGAGTGCATAGTTCTTTTTTTTGGGGGGTCAGAAGGATTCGACAATGGAGAGTCAAAAAGCTGGCTTAAAGATTATATATCACATCCTCAGTATATCTCGAACGGCAGTGTCTCATATACATTTTTAAAGTCGTTTGCACGCGACATTTTTTATCGTACCTATTGCCTAAAATTTATCTATATTATATATATATATATATATATATATATATCCTTCAATTTCCCTGTATCTGAAATCTTGATCCTTTCAAGATGAAGCAAAATTATCTGCCTAAAAAGTTCGATCAACTATTTAACCCTTTGGGAAAATTCACATAAAAATCGTACTTTCATTCATTCGCTTTTTTTTTTGACTAAAGTTTAAGCTATAATAAATTTTATTTTTTTGTATCTCACACTTTAGTGCTTCCACCAGCTACAAATGCAGCAATACCATCGCCTATTGGGATGGGGCTGTGTTATCTGCTATTGTCAGTGCATCGCTCTTGTCGTTAATTGTGTGGTTTCGGCTCTTTTTGGAGGTGGCGGTGGTGGTCTTCGTTTAGCCGCAATTGCGTTAACTATGTTAATACTTTTGTTCTCGTCGGCAAATCTTATTGTTGGCTGACGAGCAGGACTTGAGGCGTACTCAACTGGAGCATTTGGATCTGTATTGTAGACATTTTCATAAAGATTGTCAACACCATAATGTTCTTGAACCCAATTGGAAACGTTTGTCTCTCTATAATCGGCAACAGCCGGTGGAGGATCTCTAAAACCAAGAACTTCATGTGGCGTTGTTGTTGAATCTAATTTACATTTTTGTGCCACTTGCCATTTTTTTCGCATTACTCTTTGAAGATCTTTTAGAAAATCACCTGGTGGTGCTTGATCGGAGGCGGCTAATTTTTTTGGTGATGTAAGCCTTGTACTGTCGGATCTTATTGGTGGCATGGGTTTTCTTTGTGGTAATGCTGGACTACCAGGTTCTTGTTGTGGTGGTAAATTGAAAGTGATTTTCTTTACTGATCCTGTTTTCGACTTTGGAGAAATTGGTGGTTCTTGAATAGTGACCCTTCGTTGGGATTGTGGACTTGAGGAGGCTTTTAATTCGGCCAAATAAGGTGGTGTTGCATAGTGACTTGTTGTTTGTTTGAGAGCACTTCGTCTCACTGTGTCCATATTTGGATTTGGCCTTATTGAATTTTGATGACTGGCGTAGATCAATTCAGTCTTGGAATTTTGTCTTGATAATTGTTGGTTGATATGATTTGCAATACCATAGGCTGGCGGTGGTATAAATGGTGGTGGAGATCCAAAACTTGGGGAACTTGGGGTGTAGGTTGGTGTACTGCAGTTAGAGTCCGAGAACGAATTATGAGGAGAGGAGTTACCTATACTGTTGGTGTGACCTGGATTATAAATTTGATTGTTCTGCGTGGGTGAGACACAGTTTTGATTCATCATGTTTGTACTCAGGTAAATTTGATTTACAGGCCTTGAGGGCACGTGAGTTGGTGTACTATTTGGAGAGAGGGAATTTGTGGGGGTGGATTGTTTGGGTTTGGCACGACGAATTGTTCCTGTTTCACCGACAAGGGGACTTGGCGGAGGTGGCAGTGAGGCGAGACTCAGGGACGAACCACTTAGATCGGGAGAATTGCAGGATGGTAGTTCTCCAGGTGCTGGTGGTGGAGGAAGGGAATCTAGAGACAGATTTGAACGGAACATCTCCGGAGGTGGAGGAGGTAGAGGTTCACTGTCTGATTCAACTTCCTCCAAGACTCTCGATGGTGATGGAGGCGGTGGCGGTAGAGATGTAATTGAGTCCATCTGCAATGGGAGATTTGATAATTAGAACTTTGAATTGTTTAGTTTTATTGTATTTTTAAAAAGCGGTATACTTACCATACAGGGTTGAATTGGACTAGTTGGAGTTTTCAATTCCTGGCTTTCGCTTCTGCTATAAATAAGGGGGCTTGATCTTTCCCTGACAGGTGTTCCTGGTGGAACGGGACTGACTGGAGTAACGTTCCCAGAACGATGATGCCTCTTTAGAGTGCCAGAACCATCGGAATCGGTTCCACTTCTTCTTCGACTGTGTCTCCTGGTGAGAGTACCAGATCCTGAACTCGTTGGACTTGGACATGAATCCGGCTCATCTCTGACTGTTTCTCCAACTTCTTTCAATTGTCGCGTAATTGATGTGAGAGGAAGTTTTGGATTCATTGACGGTTTTCGTTTAATCGTTCCCGTTGGAAATTCACCGCACTCAAAGGCGACTTCACAACTGCTTGGAGCACCATCTGATAAGCACCCACTTGAACTGGAACTGCTGGCCCTACTCAGTCTTCCATCGCTCGTGTAACTTTGTCTCTGATTTTCGTAAGATCTATTTGTTTCACCATTATGTCGTACAGTCTCCGTAAACTGTCTAGCATTGTCATTTGTTGTATTGTATTGTGTTTGAGTGGGAGGAATTGCAATAGAACTAACTGAGCATGATCTTGCGTGAGCCAAAAGGTCCAAATCTTCTTGTGCAAGCTCATCAACAAGGGTTCTATAATTTTCCATTAATTGTCTTCCATATTTAGCCAATCTAATACCAACCATCCATCTCTCCAAAGAGGCATTGTCCTCAGCGCAAAGGAACTTTATATACTTGGTTGATTTTGCCTGCTGTAGTCTTGGATGTTTAACGGCAAAACAAAAATCTGTAGGAGCTTTATATTTCTTTCTCCAACCCACACCGTAGTAAACTTGATTCACGTCGAATGTCGCGAGACAAACTAAATCCCTGGCTGTTCTTGCCTTTTCCTTTGGCCAATAATAAAGACCAGATGCTCGTAAAATGAAGTGATATCGCTTCCATCCTTTTTTACTATCTGACTTTAGGTAAAGCGGTCCCTCTACCTCTGGAACACCCACATTGTTACTGGAGAAAAATTCCTCCAGAAGAATATTCCTCGAATGATCATCGTATTCACCGCCATTTCTATCCGATGGTCCAAGAAGAAATCTTTCTGGCGTGAGAAAAAGTTGTGTCTTGTCCGGTCTTTCGACAAATAGTAATTTATTTTTTGAGTCTCTAGTCCAAAGTAGCAGATTTTCCACCAACAATTCGTGATCCTCATAGATCCTCTCTGAATTAAAAATCAAAAAATGTAATACTCAGATCTTAAAATCTTAGTCCCTCTCTCTTAAAGAGGGGGGAAAAAAAAACTACTTACCCATAAAGAGATCTGGCAAATGTTCAACTACAGCCCACTTTGGATCCATTGGAACGTGATTCTTGTCAGCAAGCAGTCTGCAAACATGTGCGACGCTCATTCCTTCGTCAACGAGTAAACTTTTTCCACTTCCATCTAGGGTAAACGCCTTAATGAAAAGCTTCTGTACACTTGCTTCTCGCATCTTTTCCAATGCAAGACGAATTTTCTCTGCCTTTGCTCGACCCGCGGCATCTGTAGAATTTACAGAGAGTTATTTACTTATTCATTAAAAACTCTCCAACAAAATATAAGAGGCTGATGCAAAACGATATTACTTTATTATTATTATTTTCTACTTTTTAATTGACTCACCAACATGTTGATGTAATTGTTGTTGTGGGGCTGTGTGCATGGCGGTCTGAGGTGGCTTATGTCCTGAGCCACTACTACTCGCTGAACTTTCGCTTGATAACATTGACACGGTATCCGAAAAGGCGCTATCATTGTCAGGACTATCGGTTCGCATCCCTGTAAAAAAAAAATTATTTCATTTATCAAAATAATTCTTTGAGAATAATATTCTTGCATAAAGGACAATTTTGTAATAATTCTAAAACAAGAATTGCTATTTACAAATTTTATTTTTACGCTATTATTTAGATTGCATTTTTTATTCTCATTTTAAAAAATTACTTTTTTTTAAAGTTGAAGAAAAAGTAAATATAAATACTAGAGGTAACTAACCGCCTTCATTTTTTCCAATCTCCGTATTTTCCCCGGAATTGATCCTCGTACTACCCGGGCGTCCTTGTCTCTGAGAGTCAGACACGGGCGTTGCAGCAATATCCCCATCGCATCGTCTCTCCAATGCACAAAGTTCTCCAAGAATTGCGTCGAGATCAACATCTTGCGAATCTAAAACAACAAAGAAAACTGAATATTATCAAAAATTGTTATTTTTTTCAACCATTAAAATTAATTTTTTTTTAAGATTTTACATGAAAACGGGTTATTTAAAAAAAAAACTCATTTTTCAAAAATTTCGAAAAATATTGTTATATCTAATCAGACGGAAAAAATAAATAGAAGTTGATAAGGATAATTAGCAAAAGGAGCATAAAGTATTTTCTCATTTACAAAAATTGGTCTTAAGCAATAGAAGTAAAATAATATTTAAATATGATAATTTCGAAAAATTATAAATTGCGTCGAAGCATTTTTTGAATTTTATTATCTCTATACCTGCACGAAGAGCTTTATATATTTACACTAAAGTACAAAGCGAACCTTTAGTTGAAGGTCATGACAATATAGGATGGAAAATTATAATAATTCAATCAGTTGCAATTCGTGTATTGACCTGTTCGAACGTGGTCAGTAAATATAATTTTAAAATCAATGTTAAATATTCTTTATCGTTTTTTATTTTCTTCTTTCGGGAGTGCTCGAATTTTTTAATTCGCGAACGAATTTTCAGTGTTAGAAAAGTTTTAGAAATTTTTTTTTATAAATAAGTTTATTTTTGTTTTAGTTTTTTTTTTCGGGAGTATTTTTATTATTATTTAAAAACGTGGTTTCGGGAGTTCTCGAAATTTTTTTAAATCGCTTGTGTTTCTGATAGATCCATATATAATACATCGGATGCAGTCTAAGGTGAAAAAAAAATATAAAAATTTATCATTTTGAAGCCGAGGAAATTATATTTATTCTATAAATTTAATAATTACATTTAGATTAAAAAAATGATTAATTAAAATATTTTTTCGAAAATTTTGCGGGTAGTTATTCTTTTAATTAGAATCAATATACAATTTCATGAGAAAAATATCTCTATAGTTAAGAATTCAAAAGTGCTAGCGCAATGAACCAATAAATCTACTTTACAACGCCTGACATGACCTGTAAAATAAATTTGTGATTCGCCAAAGCGAAGGCGTAACATTCCTACAAGTTTGACGCGTAGTGGACGAGTATGCACATATTCAAATGCAAATTTATGCATTTAAAGAGTGCATCTATTAAAAACGTCTTATTTATATTCTTATATATATATATATATACTTAATGAATTGAATAAACTAAGTCGCAAAAGCAATAAAAAAAATTTTAATATTTAAAATATTCAAATAGTTCAAAAATATGTTAAAAATTAATAAGATTTTTAATGAAAAATTTCTTTCCGAGCAATATACATATATATACTATGATAGAAAAGAACACAACATATTTTCCGTCTCGGAATCACACTTAATGATGACAAGCTGTGAAAGGAATGCGAGATAACATCAGAAAACTGTCCTACACACAGTGCATGTAGAGCGATGTCACTCTCGGAAAAAAAAAACTATAGTTATCAATCTAATGCAAAGGAAATGTACAACTAGTATTTTATATAATCTTATAATAATCGAAAGAAAATTAAGTAACTTTTTATATATATATATATATATTTCACATTTTTTATAGTCATGAAAAAAAATGTATTAACACTTCCGTTAAACTTTTAAACAATTGAAGTAAAAAACTAAAACTAGATAAAAATTATTCTAAAAATCCAAAGACATAAAATTCATTAGACCATATATAATTATATTCTTTTTTATTTTGGCATAAAACATAATGCCTCGAATTACAGTATAATAATAGAAGAAACTTGAAAGGAAATGTATTTTCCCCGTATTCTAAGCTTTGGAAGTATAGATTACATAATCGAAGTATTTTTGATATTTTTAATATAATAGATCATTTTTTTTCCATTTAGTTAGAATATACACGTTTTCATAATTAGCTATTTATTTAAATAATTTTTAACTAAATTAGAGGAGAGCATTAAAAACATCCAATGAAAGTCATCCCACGCTTTTATCACATTTTTGTGAAGAGCACTTTCTAAAGCACTCGGGGCGCAAGTATTACATATACACATATGAAAACTAAGACCTGTTTTAATAATCACAGATTAAGAACTTCAAGTTTTTATCAGTATAGTTGTATATTTATACTTATCTTTATATTATAATATTATCTTACAACTGAAGCATAGAAATTATAATATAAGTATAAATAAAAATTGTCAAAAGTTCCTTTTTTTTGGGCATATGGAGAATTTACCTTTTTTTTTGGTAAATTTTTCAATAGAGAAAAATTGCAAATGAATAAAAATTTTAAAAAAAAAAAAAAAAGTAAATATGAATAAAAATCAGATGATGATGAAAGGAAATAAGAGATTTGTATTCTCGTAACGTGCCCAAAGCGACATCACCTCTCTGGGTGAGTGACGGCCATGTCGAATGACTCTTCTCAAGACTCGTGATTACCACGCCAAAAGGTGCTTTTAAGGTGGAAGTCATGTGTCGAAGAAAGGCAGAAAATAAGAGAGATGACGAAGCAAAATAATAGTAAAAAAAAAAAATAGTCTCCATCCTGTATTCAGAGAGATATCTTTCTTGAAACTTACCGCAATCTTCAATCAAAACACGTCCTTTTTTGTCGAATATATATATAAACTTTGTTTCAATATCAATTTTCATAAAACTACTTTTCTTTTCCTAACAAAATCATAAATATTACCCGATGACTAAGATATTGTTCTTATCTTTCGATATTAGACAATCTTATCAGTGAGTTAATTGACTTTAAATATATTGCTGTAAATAAATCCTACTGTGGAAAAAAAATTAATGGAAAAGAAAAGTCATAATATTTATATGAAATTACAATTAACGGGGAATAAGGGAAATTCCTAATGAATTTTTAGACGTATTACGTGTCAAGAAATTTATTTTCAAAATAGATGAGATTTTTTTTAAACTACCTTTGATAGAGAAATATCCAAGGATGCTTTCATTGCTACTAAAGTTGCCGATCATCTTTGGATAAAACAAAATAAAAAAAAACCGCTCTAAATCAGAGCTGCATAATTTCTCTTTATTTTGCGAATTTTTTTCACAATTACCGAAATTATTTATTTAAAATAAAATTTTAGTAACTATCGATACATTATCGAATCGCCTCCTCGAGAATTATTATATATAGTTATCCGATCCACGACACATTCACTTTCACTGTATTGCCTGTCGATGCACTTTTAAACAATGAAATCTTTATTTCGATCTGTTTTAAAAACTGACCCATCGTAAAAAAAAGAGTAACAATTATTTTCCCCTACTTTTAAAATCTTTGTGATAATATTTTACTAAATTGAAAATTAACTAATCACCATTTTAAAAAAATGTTAAATAAAAATTGAATTATACAGAAAATCACATTTTGCATTTCATTGAGAGAACTTTTTTTCTTTTACAGAGGGATAATAACCGGCGGATAATAGTGACGGACGGATGCCTGCGCTCGACTAAAGACTAAACTGTAGACTTCATTCGATGCGGCCAGACGTAAGGTGAGGTGAGTGGTCATACTCTCTTTAGTTCCGTGCTTGCGCAGTCTCAGGTGTGAAAATATACCTGTCTTTTTCTTAAAAATTTCCCTATTTACTTTTATTAAAAAATTTCTTTTTTAATTTCTACATTTTTCAAAAATATACAAATTATATTATTAATAATATAATAATTTTTATAACTATATTATTAATTCATTATATTATTATTATAATAAATAATTAATATAATTATTATATTTATAAATATGAGATTGAAAAAACATTTTTTTATGAAATTCTGAAAATCACAATTTCTTTTTGAAAAAAAAAATACTCCTAAACTCCTATATGAAGTTTTGAAAGGCCATGATTTGTGGTTTTAATGAAGAAACTTATAACAATCAAGTTAGAAAGATTTCTTCAGCTATTCTTTCAATAATAAGCCTTCTGTTTTTATGAAATAGGATATGAAATAACTCTTCTCTTAATTAAAACATAAAATCTACTCAAAGAATTAGTAAAAAAAAGTTTAACTAATTTAAATTAGTGACTCACTTTTTCCTTTTTGGTTAAATATTTTACTAATTCGATATAGTAAATTATTTTTTTTTTACTATTAATTAGTTGTACTAATTAAAAAGCAGAAAGTGATTCACTAATTCAAATTAGTTAAAAATTTTTTACTAATTCAGATTTACTAAATTTTCTTAATCTATTTTTTTAATTTAAAAATTGAAAAAAAAATGGTTGTAAAGCATAACTTTTTTTTTATTTACTCGATCTATAAGAATTGTGCCAACATACTTATCTCGGAAAGCACCGAGTCGGCGTCCAAGTAATTATATGCCTTTGAAATACAACTCAAATATTGCAGAACTTTTCGTTGAATCGAATCAACCATTTTTGTTCTCTACTACATATATAGAAATAAGAAAAAAAAAAAGAAACTCGCAACAATTTCCTGCCTTCGAGAAGTAAATGCAATATATTATAAATTCTTATAAAATAAAAATTTTCGTATTGAAACATATAAAAATGCAAAATCATAAATTTATTTGAAATAATTTAAAAAATATTTTCGGAAAAAATCATTATTATTAAAATTCAAAATCGTTGTCACTTTTTCAGTCTTATCATTCTTTATCTTAAATTGCCATAAATCCTTTAAATTTCTTTATCTTACAAAAAAAAACTGAAAATAATATTTGTATAAATATTTTTAAGTAAAAAAAAATGTTTTTTAATTTTTTCAATTTATGAATAATACACTCAGAGAAATGGTATATTTGTCTCCGAGCCTATTATATATAACTCATTTATTTGTTAAAAATATATTTTATTTCATTGAAATAAAAAATTTATTTGAGCCAAAGAAAAATTTATTTCTGACAAATAAAATTTTTATTTACGCCAAATAAATAAGTTAGTAGGCTCTGAGACAAATATACGTTTATTTAACTCAAATATATATTTTATTTGGTTCAAATAAATCATTTCTCTGGGTGTATTAACTAAATATTATATTTAATATAATAATAATAATAATATTATCTAAATATTATATTTAATTTAATAATAATAATAATAATAATAATGATAATAATAATATTAAATGAAATCTTGGAAAGAATTTACTTTTTTTATAAAATGAAATGTTTTTTGAATTCTAAATCGTTAAAAGAGCCTTTATATACGTTTCAAATGATTCCCGGGTGAAAAATAGGAATTCCTATATAATATTCAAATTTGCAATATAAGGGAGAAAATTTTACATTGACGCGCAAGTATTATATGCGACGCATTGCGTTATACCGCCCGATGTCAATGACATGCTGTATATATACACACAGCCTCGCACTATACGGTGGACCATAATAATTCTCGATCACGTTTAATTAGCGGCTTATAGGCTTGTTCGTAAACGTTTATACTCGTACGATCAGACTCAAGTTTTATGCACACTTTTTTAAAAAAAAGGAAGAAACACGTCCCGAACAGTTACAAAGTTATTTTAAAAAAAGAATTACTATAAACTTTTTTCTTTTTTTGATCACAGAAATCAAAACAGACAATCGAAAATATTCTCATTTTTGAGAATTTTTTTTTTTTTCTCATTCGTAAATTATAATTTATAGAAATATATATAATTTCATCCTATAAAATATAATTTCTTGAAGAAAATTTTCTTTATGTATACATCATTTATATACTTTCATCCTTTCGCTATGAAATCTAATTATAAAAATTTTTTACTATACAACAAATTGATTAAGTGAAAGTGAGATTAATTTTATATGATAAATTTCATTATTGCAAATTTTTTCCATAATTTTGACATTGAAAGTTCCTCCTACGATTTAGTGAATGATTTTTTTTTTTAGAAAATAAGATATATACACTTTCCCTTATGTCTTTTATGAATTATAATATTTAGTGAAAAAGAAAAATTATTAAAATTATAATGAATGACCCTGATGAGCGTATATGCGTAAACGTATATGCGCAGGGTTATATTTTAATTAACTAATGAGCCTCGCCTTTAAAACACACACGTGCGTTTGACTCTTCTTTTAAAAATACTTTACATATATAAGATTAGTGTATATTTTTTTTTTTTCAATTAAAATTTTCACTCTAATTTCGAAAAATTATTTTTATTAAAAATTAATTTTTTTGTGTAAATAATTATAAATTTCAAAAAATTAGAAATTTTTTTTTGATATTTTCTATTTGTTATATGTGATTATTTATTATTGAGAGAGAAAAAAAAATAAAAAAATTGGATAAATTTCGAATAAAATTTTCATCTTGTGTAAATGTACAAGGCCAATTCATCACCTATATAGTAATTTCATCTTTTTGCCATTCTTTCTGCACGTGCCGCTAGGTACGATCAATTATTCTTCAAAGAGAATAAATTATTGAGCCGTATATATATATATATAGTGGCTCTCATAGTCGTTATAAGCGAAAGACTAATAGTAGGCTCAGAAGATAAACAATTACAAGCACCAAATTAGTGGATAAAATATATTTAAGCGAATGAGAAAAAAAAAGAACACCTTGAATCGCACGAGAGAAAAAAACGATACTGCGGTTTCAATCAAATTTTAATATTCATTCATTGTTTTGTAATTTGACAATCTGCACGAACGAAGGGATAATTGTATAATATAATATGATATAATTTTATAATTTTATAATTTTATAATTATATAATTATATAATTATATAATTGAAAATTCATCATACCAAAAGAAAAATATTTTCGTAAAAAGGAGAATGATTTTCGAAAATTGGGATTAATTAAAAATTTATTTTTTAAATACATATATATATATATATATATATATATGACAATAGGAAGTTAAATTCACCTTTAAAGAACGTTAAATTCTAACGAGATTACTGAAGCGCATCGAGGCACGAAGTTTAAAGCAGCTTCACTTGTATATATATATATATATATATATAAAATATCGTTTATGGAGCATGGTAGCACACACCTTACTGAAGAAACACCGATACGATACTCTCCACTACAACGAGCAAGGTTCACAAATCCCAAGGTGAACGTTCGCTAATCCACGAGTCGATTCATCCCAAGAATATTATTAAATCACAAAGAAAGTTAACTTTGCGCGCTTTTTCTTGAAAAAAAAAAAAATAATAAAAGATAACCGTGGAATAAATAAAGTCAGTTTATCAACTATATTGTATAATTTTATCGCACACAATCACGAAACAAATTTCACTTCCATATATATATATTATTCCTTTGAAAATAGAAAATTGCTTCTGTCGATTACGTATTGTTAATGATCTGTTTCTAACTAATTAATTAGTCCGCAATCTTATTTTTTAATCGTGTGTGTTATTATAATGGAAAATTATAAACGGGATATATAAAGTCTCGCGAAAAATTAAATATAAAATTGGAACGATTTTTTAAATATTGAAAAAAAAACAGGTATTTGTTTCTTTAATTAATTAATTATGAATTTTTTAAAGGAGGAAATATTTTTTGTAGTAAAATGTTGATGCGAATTAAGAGTGCGTTAATAGTAGAGAACATAAAACATTTATTTATATATGTTAGCAGCATTTATGTATACAAAATGTAGAGTCTGCTAGCGAAAGTGATAGAACGCAACTACTATTAATAACGCTTATGATACTGGCGGTATTCTGTTAGAAGAAATTACAGCTTCGTGAGACCGAAGCTTTTCTCACAGGCTCGAAAGTTATGATTGATTTCAATAAAAAGTATATACTCTTAAAATTTTTAAGAATTAAATATTTTTAAAAAAAATTATTAAATAAAAATTACAATAAATAAAAGAGTGGAAAAAAAAATTTGGAAAAAATGTGCGTTTTAATAAATATTAATTTTTTATATAAAAGAATCATAAATTATAAATTGGTGCGGGTTCCCATTGTTATTAAGTATAGAACAGGTCATCATTTAAAAAAATCGAAGACCACAAGGCCCTTTATAAATTGTAATAACTCTTAATGAACGATGGAATTCACGAAGCTTATCTCAAGCTTTTTAACAGGGGCACTTGACTCTTGATGATCGACTGTGAGAGTAAGAGACATATCGTACTGTGCGACATTATAATGAACAACAAAATTTTCAATTAACTCTAATCAAATTCTATGCTCAAGAAAAATTTAAATCGAAAAAAATAAAAACGAATTTAAAAAATTTTTTATAATCATAAAAATCTATTGAAAAAAAGGAATTAAAAAAAAATTTTCAAATGATGCTAAGCATTTATGGAGGCAACGATGCGCGCGCGCGGTTATACCATGAAGCATAAATCTACTGATAGGACGTGAAAGCCATAGAGATTTTTTTTTTTTTCATCTATATACCATTCTAGTTTTAAAGATGGCGTGTGTTTTGCACACTCTATGTGCCTTACGGCCCTTCTCGATTCTCTACACCAAAAAGAAATATAGTTTCCAATAAATAAAGAATAAAACAGAGATCTTAATCTTTAAAAAAAATATCAAAGACACTTGGAGTGATTGTAAAAAATTTATAATCTGTAAGAGGAAATTTAAACATTTAGGAAGTTGAGAGACACAAAGAAATGTTAATAAAATAATTATTATCTACTAAATTATTGACTTTCATAAAATATATAAAATGTATAAAATGTATAAAATACATAAAAGTATAAAATGTATAAAATGTATAAAATGTATAAAGTGTATTATTGTTTACAATTGTAAAAAACAATCGAAAGAGAAAGCATTGTTTTTCTTTTTATCAAAGTATTGATCATGCGGATTTTTTGTGTGTGATAAATTAACAATATCTTGAGAGATAAAAAAAAAACCGAACAAGGGGAATTTCTTTTATCAATACAATCTAAAATCGATGTATTTTTGTAACTAGAAAACTAGGGCTGAAACATTTGTATTGTATATATATCTTTAATACAAAACCACCTGGCAACAAAAACTACAATAAAAGAAAGTTATAAGGGAGCGTACAATTTGAAAAACGACATTTATTATCTCTTCAGACAGATTGCTATTTTTATATATATATACTGCATCGTATATTTTGTATATGCCAAGTTACAAAATAAGAAAGTGTAATTTCGAGGCTAATATCATTTTTTTTTTTCTCGAAAAGAATTAAGGTGCAAATGAAGTTATAGTTATTGGTGAATTTTTATTATGATAAAAAATAAATACAATTTATTTTTTCTCATTTAAAAAAAAAATTAATAAATAAATAATACAATGGCAAAAAGATAGATTACATATATACAAAAATTTCTTTGTGCGCGTGTGTGTCAAATTTTGAACAAAGAGTCATCTCTCATTCGGGAAATTGCATTATAGAAAAATGGCGACACATTTTGATTCTTTAGAAATGCGCTGAACTGAAACTACTCGCTTAATTATCCGTAACGAATATAACGACACTTCGTATTTGCAGAGAGAATAAATTTAAATTCTTTTATGCAGTTGTTTTTTATAAAAAAAAAAGAACAACAAAAATTACATTTTTAAAAAAATAAAATATATCTTACCTTCTAGATTTGCCATAGAAAATCGATAACTATCTATACGTGGTGTATTGATGTCCGAATTGAAAGGCCTGAGCGTTGCCGAACTGACATTGTCAAGACCCTGAAACAAAAATTATAATTTACAGTTATATATATTGTATATATTTGCAGATGATAAATTATCTCAATTTTATACTTATTGTAGAAAAAAATTTATTTCACTTAAAATTTGTTACTTATGGCTATTGTCAAAGAAATATTTGGTTCAAATAATAATTCTTATTTGAAAAAAATAAATATTTATTTGATAATATTGTAAAAATTTTTGGGAATATTCACCAACTTTTTTTTGGTGAATGTTGATAATTTTTTGGGGAAAATACTTTTCCCTAAAATATTTGTAAAATTATTACCAAAAATGTTTGTGAAAATTTACAAAACTTCCAGTGAATATATTTTCCTTAAAAAAAAAATTAGTGAATATTAACCTATAAGTTCGTGAAAATTCTACAAAATTCTAATGAATATGTTTTTCCCCCAACAAATTTATAAATATTATTTAATTTTTAAGGAATACTTTTTTAAAATTAGGGAATATTCACCACTTTTTTCAGGGGAAAAAGAGTATTGAACAGAATTTTGATTAATTTTCATTAACTTTTTTGAAAAGCGCATATAGAACAGAATATCAAATAATGTTTACGGAACATTTTTGGTAATATTTAATGATTGATTATAATTATAGTAATTAACTTAATAAGTTTTTAAAAGAAATACAAAAATATCGTTGGAAAATTTATAGCTTTCTTTCTTAATTTGTCAAAATGAAAAATTGTTTTTATTCATGTTAAAACTGATTATTTTAACTTAAAAAAATTATGAAACTAAATAATAAAATAAATAATAAAAATTTGTAATGTGTCTAAAATGACTTGCTTTTTACGATTTTAACAAGTGGTTTTCACTGAATTAAAATCAGTATGGATTTAGCTGAACTAAAATAAAATTATATTTAAATTAAATATGGTTTTATTATATACAGCAAAAAAAAAATAACCCAAAAAGTTTGATGTATTTTATGTCAACAACATTTTTTTGGGGAATTTTCCCCAAAAAATTTTTTACATAGTTGAACATTATTTTGAATGAAATAAATTATTTTTTCAATGCAAATATAACTGTTTTACGATAACAAGAAATTTAAATTAAGAAATACAAATATCTAGAATATTTTGCGGCTTAAATGTTTCAATAAGAGATAAAATATAGTTAGAAAAACCACGTGTTACTAACTTGCATATATATCATCAAAACCGCTAATCTCGCTTTTCTGTAACGAGAATCACATTACTAGAAATGCGATTTGGCTAGTCTGTACACTCAATTTCCGGTGTGAAAAGGTGAATTATTCTATAGTCTCTCATCCAAACTAACTCGCGTGTGATGAGGACAGAAAAGTGTAAACGAGAGAAAGAGAGAGAGAGAGACACGAAAGGGATGTAATTTTCCCCGATTGGAGAGAATTCAATTCCCATTTGTGGCAAACCAGGCAAAACGACATATATATATACTATACATAAAGAATTTAGGTGTGTTAGTACAATTATTTTCGACTCGACATATCAAATTTGTACCCGCAACGTTTCTCTATATTTTAAAATTAACGAATATTACATTTTGCTGATTTATGCAAAACGAATGTCACTAAAAAAAAAAATATTGCAATTCTTTAAACTGAAAAAAATATTGCAATTTTTTTCACTGAAAAAAAATATTACAAATTTTTTACACGGAAAAATTATTGTAATTTTTTTTTTTAATGCACTGTAAAAAAAATTTATTTAATTCAAATAATTACTTGATTTCAAATAGATATTTAATTGAAGCAAATAATTTTTAAAATAATTGAATTAAATAAACTATATTTGGACCAATAATTTCTATATTTGAAACAAATACGATTTAATTACCCGCTTGGAAAGATTCCTCGGAAAGTGCCCCCTGGAGGTTCTATCAGAATTTCGCCGGAACTTCCGTCGGAATTCCATCGGAGTTCCAAAGAATTTCCGATGGGATTCCGACGGAATTAGAACTCTAAAAATTTTGAAAAAAATTAATCAGAATTCCGTCGGAATCCCATCGGAAATTCTTTGGAACTCCGATGGAATTCCGACGAAATTACGTTGGAAGTTCCGGCGGAATTCTGATAGAACCTCCAGGGGGGCACTTTCCGGGGAATCTTTCCAAGTGGGTAAAACTCAATAATTATTTATTATAAATTTATTTGATAATAATCAACCAATTATTTGAGGCAAATAATTTTTTTTTCACCGTGTAATAAGTAAATTCAAATTTAAAATATTTAAAAAAAAAAATTTTTTTTTTTAATCTCTATTAGATTTCATAAAGAAACATTAAATTAAAAATAAAATCTAACTTTAAAAAAAAAGTCTCTTGATACTTTCTTCTTATATTTATTTTCATATATAATTCTTGTAAGAAACTATATGTCCCTCATATTTTTTTTTTACCCCTAGGGAGAGATTATTTTTAGAGTTACTTTTTTTTCGAATAAAAAAAAAAAAGATGCTGGTGTGATGTAATATTAAAGAAGAAGAAGAAGAAATCTTCTAAGATAATTTCGAAGGAAAAGTATCGCGTTTTGTGCCATTAACCGTAAATAATATGACTTCACACAACAGCGATTATACGATACATTGAAAGATCCATATACTCAACCATGGATGTATATATAGTGTCAAACAAAATTAGTTCCGCCTTACGCTATAATAATTTGCCATTTAATCCAATGAAATTATATGTTAAATATGCATAATATTAAATAAATTTTAATTATAGAAAGTAATATTTTTCCTGTATAGGAATAATATATTTACAATATATTATATATTATTTATATTATATATAATATTTTATTTAAATTATATATAATATTTTATTTATATTATATATATATATATATATATTATTATAAATATTATATAAAATATGCTTCCAGAAAACGATTTAAAACCTTGTTTTATTTTTATATCCATAAGGCAGGAAACAGTGTTATTTTTAAATTATCTTTTCTATATTAGTGTGCAATTATAATTTTCCGTGTATACTGCAATTACAGTAATTTAATACACAAAGGTGAAAATTAAAATTGTTTCTTTTCCTCTGTGTAGATTATTTTTTTAAAATAAATATGTGTGGGAGTGGAATTACCGGTCAACTATATATATGAACAAGCCTTCAACAATTAGATGTTTGGTAGATAAAACTATGTCCATATGAAAATTTAAAAGTTTCAATATTTTTTTCGGAAAAGAAAACTAATACCTGCCAAAACATTTTTATAATTTATTATAACTTGATATTATCTACTATTGGTTAACGAGTATAATTTAAATAATTTTTTTTTTTTTTATGAAATTTAGTTTAATGAATTAATGCACCAAGTGCGGAAGGTGCAATTTTCTATCTCAGGTATATGACAGGAAGTCGCGCAGTAATTTTTCATTCAAGTAAGTCTTTTGTCAAAGGAAAGGTCGACTTGAAGTCAACTCTTCAGGATGAGAGTTTACTTGCGAGTCTTGCCATTTCTCTCACACCCTTTTTATCTTTATTTTTTTTTTTTTTAGAGAAAAAGTACATTTTTCTAGCTTAAAGAATTCCGCCACACACTTGCAAAAATATTTGCAACAAATTTTTATCGAGTTAAAAGCATTGCATTTTCTTCACAAAGGAATTGTGCCAAACTTTTTTTTTTGGGAGAGAATAGAAAATGCTCTCGAAACTCTCTTTAAAATCTTTTACAAAAGAAAAAAGCTATTTTTAATAAAAGTTGTTTCCAACTTGATTATACACCCAGAAAAATTTTGTCTCAGAGCCAAATAAATTTTTATTTGATTTAAATAAATTGGATATTAGTATACTTGTAATAATAAATTATGTTGGAAAAAGTATTGAAAATAAAATAATTGGGTATAAAATTTTTGAAAAAGTAAATTCCGTGGGAAGTGATAGATTTGATGGAGGGTCACTTGAATAATATTATATATATATACTATATATCTTTGAGAAAAATGCGAACCAATCACTTTTCATAGAAAGAAAAATAAGGGGCGTCCTTTATCATCAATTTCGTTTAAAGATTGATGTTATTTGAAGCTTATCCTTTATTTATTATAGATAAAAAAATATGTCCTACAAAGCAAAGAAATATAAACTATACTTCAGTTTCTATTTAAGAAAATAAAAAATTCTGGAAAATTCTGATCAAAATTATCCATAGATATTATTTTGATCATGAAAATTTGAATACTCACATCCTCATTTGTCTTATTGTGACTCTTCCATCGAAATAGTCTATCCATTTTGTATATATATTATCCGCTAACACAATTTATTCACTATAAATTTTATTTGAAAAATTTCCACAAAAGTTTCTTAAAATAAAATAATAATCTTAAAAATTCTTTAAATTAGTTGCTCAAATTTTCGCCCCCTGGGTGAATGGGTATAATTTGCAAAATGGAATTAAACAAAAAGTTTAACATCATAGTTTTGCTAATTGACTCTCTAAGAGTTGCACGAATTATATATATATATATATATATATATCTAGAGAGAAACTTAAACTTTTAATAGGCTTCTCTTCTTCTTATTGATAGTAATGATTAAAACTTGTACTGAACTGTAATCGCCTATAAACGTTTCTTCTACGGGCTATCATATAACGCATATAACGTTAACACCCTCGTAAAACAGTGCAACCTATAACCTGTAACATACCATCATTCTCAAAATAACATCACTTTTATTTGATATTCAAAATGCTTCTGTTTTTTTTTCTTTTGAAAAAAAATATGAAAGATGAATTAAAATTTCGATACAGAATTTTAGTTGCTGTTAAATTAGTAAAAAAAAAAAAAAAAGTTGTAGAAAGTAATAATAATAATAGATTTTTGGAGTAAGAAAAAAGGGAAAATACTTTTTTTTAGAAAAAGGAAGCTGGATGCAAAATTTAAGAATTTAATTCTCAAACGTACTTGTTACATTTTTCCTGATGTCACACAAAATTTAGTTTACTAATCCGCAAATTTGTTAGAATAA